CTTTCTTTCCAGAGATCACAATTTTTCCCCATTACTACTAAGATCAAGTTTAGGGTTAGACATGGAGGAAGCCCAGTTTCCTGCTCTGCTTGATTCCCCACTGCACTTCTAGACCATCTCCTGCCTGAAGTAGTGCTGCACAGTCCTCTTCACATACTGTGCCTGTCCTTTTCTCCTCACCTCTGCAAATGTTCTGGGCCATAGTGGTGGTTTGACTGCTACTCAGTGTCCAGATGTCTCTGGACTTGTGCAGAAAAATTTCCTTGATTCTTCAGTCTGGGTTGGTTTCTTATTTCCTTGAAGGAAAAAAAAAGTTTCTTTGTGGATGTTTTTCATCTTTCGCCAAATTGCTTAAAAGTTCTTTGAAAATAGAAACTCTACCTGTTCTACTTTGTATTGGTACTTGGGAGTTTTTAGCTGGGTATTCAGTAAGCATTAAATTAGTGAGATTATTAAATAAACTCAACTTATTTGTTAGTACAGAGATTTATGTGTTCGGAGATGGTTTTATCCTTTGAAATGTTGTTCCCTCGTGAGTTTATCAAATTCAGTTTGAAGTGAATGGCTTAGCAGTTGCTTTTATTTCTTTTTAATTTTTTTTTTGGTGCTGGGGATCAAACTCGGGTCCTTGAGCTTGCGCAGCAAGCAGCGAAACCACTGAGCTAAATCCCCAGCCCTATTCACTTTTATTTTGTAAATTTCACCTTTTGATAATTGATATTCTCTTTAAAAATCATTGCTTCCTAGGCGATTTAGAAGTTTCTCAATGTTTACAAAAGTATGAATGTTATTCTGAGAAACTAGTTAGTGTGAATTGAAGTTCCCAGGAACAGCAAATCAGTGATTCTCACCTCCATGTTTGCCAGACAAATGTGTATTTGAAAGTCAACATTGACATTCTTTTAAGATGTTGGGGGCCTGGGGATTTAGCTCAGTGGTTCCGGTGCCTGCCTCGCAAGTGCAGGGTCCCAAGTTCGATCCCCGGTACCAAAAAAAGAAAAAAGAAAAAAAAAAAGAAAGATGTTGGAAGAATGGTATTTGAATCAAGATAAGTGATGAGACTAAAACACTTGAAATCAGACCTAAGGAAGGACAACTGAAAGTTGATTGTGTAAGATCAGCCAAAAAGAATTGGAGAAGGTAGGTACAAATAACCTGTATTAATAATAGTCTCTACTTGGGCCAGGGATTTAGCTCAGTGGCGCTGCACCTGCCTCACAAGCGCAAGGTCCTGAGTTTGATACCTGGTACCAAAAAAATAAAATAAAATAATAAAAACAGTCTCTACTTGAACCTGGAGGATATTTTTGTGGTGTGTGTGTGTGCGTGTGTGCGCGTGCATGTGTGTGGAGGATGGTTGGGATGAAAACAAGGACTGTCAGTATTGCTAAAATTTAGATGCTACTAAAATAATGCTTTTGAATATTTTTATTTTCAACTTTGAGTTTACCTTTATGGAAGGTACAGTAATTGTGCTTGCTGCTGTCACATGTCTTTGTGCCACTGTAAAAAGCAGAGTCCTAAGCTGGAAAGACAAAGCAGATGAATAAGGCATTTTATGTATGTTCTAATTAAAGACACTACCTGGTTGGAAAGTTAGCTGCACATGTTTATATGTGTGCTGTTAAGATAATGATGAAGAGGGGGCTGGGGATTTAGCTCTGGTTTCGCTGCTTGCTGCGCAAGCGTGAGGACCCAAGTTCGATCTCCGGTTCTGGGGGAAAAAAAAAAAAGATAATGATGAAGAGCAGCTGATCATTTGGGGCCTTGACGCAGAAAAGTCTGGCAAGTTGATAGGTAGATAGATAACTACAAGGAAAGCCAAGACAAACACACACACACACCCGTGACAAGTTGCATTCAGAGACAAGGAAATACTGAAGGATGAAAGGGGCTATGAATACAGAACATGCAGAAAAATCATGTATCTGAGCACAGACTTTGTATAAGACAAAGACTCCCTAAATATTATTCATGGAGAAGGTACTTAACGTAATTTAAGCTTTCTTAAAAGCTGTGTAAGAAAGATAATGCATGTAAGTCATATTGGAAATTATATGCCTCCACTCTAATCTTGATAAAGCTAAACCTGCAGAGAAATTCTTTGAAACCCATCAACAAGGAAAAACTCTCCATCATAAGGAAGCTTTTAATAAAAGGTAGAGAATTCAAGCTGGAGAGAAACTATGAATGTGGAAAGATATTTATCCAGAAAGCATGCCTTGTGCATCAAAGAAGTTACACTGGAGAGAACCCTTATGAAAGCTGTGAATTTGCAAAAGCCTTCAGCCAAAAGTCAACCTTCGACCACACAGAATTGAAAAGCCCTATGAATGCAATGAATGTGGGAAAACCTTTATCCAGAAGGCACCACTCATTAAACATTAAAAGATTCATACAAGGGAGAGACTTTATAAAAGTATTAAAGGCGGAAAATCTTTCAGTGTAAAATCAACTCTCATTGTACAACTCAGAACTCCCATAGGAGAGAACTGTGAATGCAGAGACTGTGGCAAGGCCCTCAAGGGAAAGACATCTCTCATTAAACATCAAAGAAGTCATTTAGGATAAAAAATGTAAAGCCCATGAAAAAACCTTTAAGTGAGATAACTGTCCATTAAGTTATATGTTGTCATAGTGTGCCTCCAAGAATTCATTCAAAATAATTTTGTAAACCATGAATCAGCCTTCAAAAAATTGCTCAGCCTTCATTAGATTTAGGAAAACTTAATGTTATAATATTCAAAACATGGAATAAACATGATAAATTCTTCACTCAGAAAAAAAAAAGATAATGATGAAGAGTTGGTCCAGAATACCACTAATAAAGATGATCCTTTTCAGCTCTTTGAAGAAGTAAGCAAAATACCCACAAATATGTTATGGTGAGAGAATTCACTTTTTAGTATTCTTTTAAAAAATTTTCCCAGGACACTGAATAGTACTTTCTGTATTTCTCCTGTGTATTTTAATCAAAGAACAGTATTTGTATGAGTTTCATTTTGTGTGTGGTTTTTGGTTTTGTTTTTTAAATAAAAGACAAAAAAGACTACCTTACTTTATTGCTCTTTTGCTTTTGTTACCTTTTTTAGCAATTAAGTTAGGGGCAGGAAGTTTGTTAAGTACCATGGACTATCTGCAAAGAAAATCTGTCAAGAGCTACCTGGAGGTTAAAATAAACTAACTTATTTAAGACCTGTAGTTTGAAAACAAGGAAAATGATAGAAGTAGGAAGGATAAAGTAATTGAAACTTAGTGGCTTTGGCCGAGGATTTAGCTCAGTGGTTCCGCCGCCTGCTGTGCAAGCGGGAGTTTGATCCCCGGTCCAAAAAAAAAAACCAAAAATCTTACTGGCTAACTTGAAAATTCTTATTGTTTTTGTTTGTGTAACTTTTTAGTAGTGGGCAGATGCTTTTGTGACGTGAGATTGTTTTTATTTTTTGCTGAGTAAGGAACATCATTTGAGAGGAAAGTGTTATTTGTAGTGCTTGAATGTTATTCTTGAAAACAATTTCTTTGCAACTAAATCCAGAACTTACTATGAATTAATATTTAAGACTTAAACTTTAAGTATAGTTTAAATTCCAAGGCCTGCATTTAACATAAGTTTGCAGATTGGATTTAATGATCGGTTCTTTTCTTCATGATTAAGTGCCATTTCTGAGGACTGTATATGAGCTGTTGAAGTGAGCACATTTTTTGATAACTGTAAACAAAAAATATCATAGATATTGTCTTATCTGAGCATAACCTTCTAGGGCCTAGAAAATCCCTTAAACAAGAACATAGTGAAATAATCTTAGAATAAGATTCTGTCTTCAAAAAGAATATATATCTTGTAGTAGCACATTCTCATAGCATTATCAGAAATCATGTCATATATAAATACCTTTATATACTTAAGATTGATGTCATTTAAAGTCTCCCAGATCTTGGACCATTTTTATAGTAAGAGGGCTATGTTAGTTTGACTTTATGGATCCCTTCTAACACAAATGGTGAAATAATCAGTCTGCTTTCTAGTTGGGATGTATATTTTAAAATAAGCTTTTTAATGAAGTTAGCTGAGATTTGGACCACTGGGAGGTAGAATTTTATATCTTGCAATGATCACTCTGTAGTTTTTCTGTAGTGTACAAGGTAGCTAGAACCTTAAGAAGGTCATAGCATCTCTTCATGATAGATTTTGGAAGTCTGGAAGATAGTACCGATTTTTTCAGATTGAATTGGAAGCTTGCTTTTCTTAAAGTTACTTCTACACATTAATCCACAAGGAAAATTTCTTAGTAAGTCTTATCATGTAGCTTGGTTTAGAAGCTCCCCTAGGATCTTGCTTGCCTTCCCTTTATTCCCCCAAGAATGTGTCTATGTGCGGTACTTAGCATCTGACTAAGGGTGTCTTAGGGTATGTTCAGAAGTTTTACTGATGAAGCACTGGCTTATTCAGCTCTGGTATTATCTACCATGTGTAACATATGAAAGAGAGCTGAATCTTTTAGTTATTTTCCCGACTCTGAAGAGAAGGGGAGAGATTTTTCTTAAAACTGTCAGTGTTTTACTGTCTTCATCTTTTTAGATAGACATCTAAAGGAATAAATAATGAGTTGATGCTAAATTGTTACAGCTTCTGGTCCTAGAGCCCATGTCATGCCCATTCTCATTCGAGCAATGGTTAGGAAAAGACATTATACCCACTCACTCCCACCCTGACTTACTAAAATTAAGCCTGAGAACAAAACTTTAGTGATTAGAAATACCACGTACTTCATTCTATTACCTTTCAACAAGAAATCAGAATGTAAAGTTGAAATTTCCTGACCAGGAATTTGGAAGATTATGATGTAATACCCTGGGCCTTGATTCCAGAAGAAGGAGCTCTCTGAATATGGGTTTACTAGTTGGTGGTGAATTCATGAGTCGCCAACTATTAGGCCTTTATGTCCAGATATTATCTTAATTTATGGAGTAAGGTCCCTGAGTTCTCCTCTTTCCTTCCACAGGGCAAGCAGGAGGACTTCAAGACGACAGTTCTGGAGGGTATGGAGACGGCCAAGCATCAGGTGAGGGTGGCGTTAGATGCTTGCCACTTAGTAGCAAGAGCCGCCAAGTCAGGGAGTGATGCTTGCAAGTGATTTTGGCTATAGTACCCACATTTAAGCCAGAAGCTCAGAGGAAATCTAACCCACAGGAGAGAGTAGTAGTATAGGAGAGCATACCAGAACAAAGGCAAGCAAAACCTGTCAAAGTCCTCAGGCCGATCTCAGCCCTCCACTCTTCTTCATGTTTTTGAGGAGATGGCGGCACTTTTTTCACCAGCAGCCTTTGCGGTAAAAGTGAACACGATATAAAAATTAGAATCATGGGACCTTTAAAAAGAAATACAGCAATATTCACAGGGAGGAGAAGCTACAGACTTGGAAGTGTTAAAAAAGAATTGAGGTATTCTAGAATTAGTGAGATGAATTATGCAGGCCATTGACATGTTTTTAGATATGGTTATGTGATGTTGGACACATTTTTTTCAATTACTATTGCATAGTTAATCATATTATGGCTTAATTGGTTTCTCAGGCACAAATTATCTTTAAAAAGTCCATTCAAAGTGCTTTTTCTTTTCAAATCAAAGAGTATAGATTTTTTACTTGTAGGAAAAAGTAAAGAATTTATAGGAGCCACCATCTGGAAAAGTTAGTTTATTCCAAGAATCCAAAGTAACATGTCTAGATTTCATTCTTTGCCTCTTGAAGGATATTTTGTGTGTTCAGTACTCAAAGCTGGTTTATACCTGCATTTTGATAGAATTGGAATGGGTATTACTTCACTGTTGTAGCCTCTCACTTTTCAACTAAGTTTCCTTTAACATTATTTGTCTGTTACAATTTGCTTATAGTAGGTCCTGGGAGTGTTTGTGTTTTACTGTCTTGAATCGGGATAGTTTCATGTTAATACACTAGGTGGTAGTTGAAGGGATCTGAAATGTTAGAAGTAGACTTTTTAAAATGTTCCAAGAACCAGAGGTTTGTACTCAGTATCTTAGAGGAGTTGAAATCCTCATTCAGAGTCTGTTGTCCATAGCAACAGACTTCAAGAATGTTTTACATCAAATTATGTCCAAGTAAATCTTCAAGAATGTTTTTCATCATATTAGGTCCAAGTAAATCTTCGGTGGAACTCTTAATGGAGCAGAGAGAGTCTTTTAGAAATTTTTATCTCAAAGAAATTGAGTTTTCTTGTTTTTTGTTTTGTTTTATGATGGTATTTGGTCTTTTGCTTATGTAAACAATATGGTATATTGCTGAAAGTAAAAGTAGACTTTCATATAAAACTGGTGCTCTTTTGAGTTACTGTTAGTAGAACATGAGTTTTAAGTGTTTCCAGGAGTAGTGGTGACCCTTCGAGCTTTCTCTTCAGGTCTTTGTCATGCTCAGAAGCATGCATTTGTGGGAAAATCAAGAATTAGAAACATGCTTATAAGCGATCAAGATTCTTCTCTTAATGAAACCAGAAGACTCTCACAGGTGTCTTGAAGCTGAGATCTTATCTTGACTTCTTAAAAATCTACCTCCAGTTAACACTTACATCCTAAATGTAATTTAGCTAGAGCTAAAAGGGAACTTGAGATCATCTTCTCTAGCTTCCTGCTTTCAAACAGATAGTATTTACCTATTTTATGAATTAGGACCTGAAACCTAAAGAAATTTAATGACTTGATCAGTGATAAAACAACAGTTGTGGAGAAGGAATGAGAACCCGAGATCTTGCTTCTTAGTATATAGTCTATTCCTTACACTGCTAGAATTGTTCAAAATAGACATTCACCCTAAACAAAGTCTAAAGTGTAAGAAATCATATGATTCTTTGTTTTTTCTCTTTCTTCCTCTTATTCTTCTTCATGTTTAAACTATTACAGGACTTGATATGGTACATCTCTAGTGTATTAATGTTGTCTTTTTTATGAAGATTCCTTAGCCGCCTGTTTTCACTGTTGACCCAGAAATCTGGTTCTACTTTATCTACTTTATTAAAAAAATTAAAGGCAAGTAACTCTCATAGAGGCCTTTGATTTGAATTTGTGTGTGTGTGTGTGTGTATACACCTCTGTTGCCTGTGTCTTACCAGCATCAGGAAAATTATTTCATGGAATAGTGGGCCTATAATCTCACCTGCTTCCAACTCGCCTTTTCTCCCTCTCTAGTTGACCTACCTCAAAAGATCTTAATTCTCTTAAGTATTTACCTACTTTTTACTATGTTTTTGGAGAAAATATGAGCCCGTTAGATGTATAGAAAGGGCTGTCTGCTTTAGCATGATTGCATTCTTGAAGGTAATAGAGGAATTTCCCATATGAAGTGGTGAGCAGGAACAAATTGAACAGAAGACAAAATTGATATGTAGGCAGCCTTGAAGTTTTTAAAAATTTTATTCTGTTAATCACATCCAAACACCGAAGTGCAAAATTATGTTCCAGAGCTAAGTGTAAATTACTATACTATACTATTGGTACTTAAAAAAAATAAGGATATTATTAAAGTCAAGTATATCTTAAGAGGTTCTTTTCTGTAAAGAGTTACTTACGAGTTGGATTATCCAAAGTGGTCTCTTACTTCACTATAAGAAATGTTTTGATTTAACTTCTGAATAGTTTGGGTTCTAAATTAACTTTTTTTTTTCTTTGAAAAGGATTAGGCTTTTCCTCTGAATTTTGATAATAGTCTTCATTTCTTAAAATAATAGTCTTTATCTCTAAACAATAAAAGGAAGGAGATAATTACTGATAGTTTTTAGGGTTCATTTTTCATTTAAAAGATTAATATTAGAGTTTAAGGATAACTAGTTTTTAAAGATGCTGTGTGAAAGATGGAAAATAATATTTCAAGTATATGTTACTATCACAACTTTTAGCTTCTTTAATTGTATTTGTTTAAATGTTTGATTTAGAAAAATACATTGAAATTACCACATGACTTATATAAATAACATCTTTGTTACATATTCTTGTTTTTTGGTACCGGGGATTGAACTCGGGACCTTGTGCTTGCAAGGCAGGCAGCGGAACCACTGAGCTAAATTCCTGACCCTGATACATAGTCTTAAAATTCCCAAAATCAGAAATCTGTGTTTTGGTAAAAATACTTGCATTGAGGAACTAACTGTAATATGAAACTTAGCAGAGTTTTTTTCTATATGTTTTTTCCAGTGGTCATTAAAAAATAATACTTTGGAATAGTGACCGCTTATTAAACGTAGAACATAGTATAGTCAAAAAAAAAATTTTCTTTTGGTCAGGGAGAAGTGGAGTTTAATAGAGCTAATTGATTTTCATGTTAATAGTATACATTGAAGTATACTGAGGAGTAACCTAGAGATACTTGGTTCAGGTACATAGGGTTAATGTGTAGATAATGTGAAATCATTTTGGTTTTGACTTTTGGTCTTTATTTTGATTTGGGGATAGGTTACAGGGGACATCAAAGCTGTATGTTTTGAAATTTTCACATTTACTGAAATAACCTATATTTCTGATAGTCAGCATTTCTTTTCTTGTCTTAATTTCATACTTGTAACAATATGGCTTTCACTGATTATTTTTTCCCCTGAAAAATAATTAATTGTACTGACAGTAGTTTTTGTGGTTGGTTGTTGTTCCGTACAGTCTTTAGTTTTAGATTGGGATTAATTATACATAAGGATTGTTGATTTTATTTAGTAATATAAAACATAGTATTTATGCCCTCATTTTCAGCAGTGGAAAGCCTTTTTTCACCTTCCAAGAACTGTATTTCTTAATGTGTGCCCCATGTTAGTGTGAGGCACTTTTGGCTGGCCTCTTGTTAACCATTATTTTTTAAAGTAGTGTTTGCCATTTGAATATCTTTGTGGAAACATGCTCCTCTGTAGCTTAGCTACAGTTTTCTAAGCTAAATCTTTACTTGCCTTGTTCATTTTATTTTCCCAGTCTTACTAATATCTTTCTGTTAATTTTACTTCCGATATCAGTGCTTTCAACTTATTTTATGTGCTTTAAAATGATTAAATATGGACATCTGGTACCTATTTTGTTGCTTAACATATATTTTCTTCAATGATACTGAGTTTTGAAACTCTTCAAAGTTTGCCTTGATTTTGGGGGAAAGATGGATGCTGGAGATTGAATCCAGAGCCTTTGAAAGTGTTAAATATGTGCTCTACCATTGAGCTGCACCTCAGCCCTCTGTCTTCATATTTTTATAAACTGTAGTAAAGTGTATTTTTTTAGGAATATGAGGGCAAAATATGCAAATGTATTTCTTGAAATTTTTTTTTTTTTGGTACCAGGGATCGAACTTGGGTCCTTGCACTGCGAGGCAGGCGGCAGAACCACTGAGCTAAATCCCCGGCCCTAAATATTTTATAAAGTTGTACTTACGTACTAAAAATACTTAGTAAGCAATTTAAAGAGTTTCAAAGCTGGGTATGGTGGCACATACCTTTAATCCCAACACTCAGGAGGCTGAGGCAGGAGGATTGCCACAAGTTTAAGGCCAGCCTGGCTACAGTAGTGAGACCCTGACTCAAAGAATTTCAAAATAACAGTTATCTTGTATATAGTATATGTGTACACTGTATGTATTATATAATACATGTAACAATTTAAATGTAGTATATGTTCAAGCATTTCTAATGTTTCTGCCAGAAATAATAAATTTCTCACATTCTGTTGTAGTCTGGTTAATTTCTTTCACTGCTTGCTAGCATTGAATAATGAGAACTAAAGGGCACTGCTATTGACAGGATATGTGTTTTCTACTGTTGATTATTCAGCCCTAGAGCCATCTTTCTCTTCTATGCTGTAACCCTAGAAGAAGGCATGTGACTGCGTTTTCTGCTCACTACCTTATTGCTTTCCTGCTCTAGTGTACATTAATGTACTTTTCTTTAATCTGGTTTCCTTTTTTTTTTTTTTTCTTTTTCCTTTTGGTGGTACTGGCCATTGAACCCAAGACCTTTGCACTGAGCTACATTCCAAGCCTTTTTTGATTGTGTATTTTGAGACAGGGTCTTGGTGAGTCACTAAATTACTCAAGATGTAGCAGGGTGTGGTGATGCATGTCTGTAATCCCAGCGAAAGGCTAAAGCAGGAGGATCACTTACCTGGGCTACATAGTGAGTCCAAGGCCAGCCTGAACTGTACATAGGGAGACCCTGTCTCAAAAAAAAAAAAAATTGCTGAGGTTGGGCTGGAACTTGCTATCTTCCTGTCTCAACTTCCAAAGAAGCTGGGATTATTACAGGTACACACCACCATGCCTGGCTAATCTAGTTAACTTTAAAAAATTGTATGCTCTGATGCTGGGCATGGTGGCACATGCCTGTAATCCCAGCACTTTGGTGACTGAGGCAGGAGGATTGGTACAAGTTCAAGGCCAGCCTGAACTACAAAGGCTCAAAAAAAATTTGTATGCTGTGAATGATGTTCATTTTAATTAGAACATCAAGTATAAAGTTACTTTATAGATGAAGACAATATTATGTCTTCTTATGCCTAAAAATGTGTATTTTTCATACGTTAATAAGCTATAAATTTTAATTTTTGTTTTTTGAGTCAGGGTCTGGCTTTGTAGTTTAGGCTGGCCTTGAACTCACTATGGAGCCCAAATGGCCTCGGCCTCCTGAGTGCTGGGATTACAGGCCTGTGCCACCACGCCCAGCCAAATTTTGATATGTTCAACTCAAAAGAGTGGTTGATTTATAAGGAAGTTTTACCTTTTGAGATAAAATGAAAGGTGTTTGTTTAGAATGGAGGTGAGATCAGTCTGTGAACAAGGCAAAGCTTCACAGAGTTCTTAAAGCAAAAAAAGGAATTTCGAGACTGTCATTCCTAGTTTTGTACTCATTTGCACTTTTCCTAGCCATCCTCTGCTTTCTTTGCTAGGTGTGGAGGGTGCAGCTTTCCAGAGCAGACTTCCCCACGACCGGATGACCTCTCAGGAAGCAGCCTGTTTCCCAGACATCATCAGTGGGCCTCAGCAGACCCAGAAGGTTTTTCTGTTTATCAGAAACCGCACAGTAAGTGTCCATGCTGGCCATTTTCACCTGCATTGTAGAAAATGCATATGACTTTTATAGAGAAAATGAAAAAAAATAGGAATTTTTAAATTTCTATAATCCTGTTACTCCAGAGATAACCATTGTTTTTTTATTTTTCTTCTTTCCCACTAGTCCCTGGTATCCACACACAAATGCATACATAAATGAAGATACTAAATCAAATAGTATAAAATGTTAACAATTTTTTCCCCCCATTAACTTTATTGGTACATTTTAGATATAAAATACAGTTACATTCATCATTGGGATCTTGTACTATTACATGAGTCTCTTGGTTCTTATTTTTTTTCCCCTTCCCTTGCCCTCCCTTCACCCCC